CCAATATAGTACATGAAGACACGAAATAATCTGAAGATTCAAGTGTTGTTCACTTCACCTTACTTTTTTGTTTATTACTTATTTTTATTTAAATCATTATCAAAACAGCACCGAATTTTAAATATTTAAACAAGGAAAGTTTGTTAAAACCAGAAAGACTTAAACCATATCCAAATATAAATTCTTGATTGTTTGCTTTATTTTTTTGGTTTTTATGGTAAGTCACAGTTGGGACATGTGAGTTGTGCATAGTACTTCAAAAGACTAACTATGTTGATAGCTGATTTGTAGCTCCCAAAAACTAATTGCAAGGGGTGATAAAAGCTCATGCTCTACCGTTTTCATACAAATTGAATTCGAAATGTCTTCAAAATAACTGTAGAGTGACTTATGATGCACTCAAAATTAACCTCACTAGTTGACTGTTTAATAGCGAGCAAGAACCAAATCCACAAGGAGTCTTAAAAATCTGATTGTTTAATTTTTGCAAACTGAATTACTCACACACAGTTTGAGGGAATTTGAAAATTAAAAACAATAGTGAACATTTTTAAAAAATAAGGAAAGAATAAATGAAAATGAAATTGGAACTCAATCTTTTAAAACAGATGGTAATAGGAAATAGAATTGAAGTTTTTTTAATTTGAAAAGGCACTTCGTTTGTTGTTGAGTTGACGAATGCTGAATTTACCAAATCATTAATCCAAAAGATAGTTTAAAAACAATGCAAGATACAATGTTGTAGGATAATGGCACAAAAGAGGAAGCCAATTTTCCCTACCTACTCCACAAAGTCTAATAGTCTCCTTTTAGCACCAGTACTAAATCAAACCCTATTATTATACGGTATTTAAAAGCTTGCAACCAGCACCAAAATAGTTAAGTATAACAATGCATGCATCCTAAGTGGCATCAGCTCAAATCTTTCTCAACTACCCTCGGGTGGTTTGTTGAGAAAGATAGGGTAGACTACGGTGGTAAAAAACGACTCTAATTGTAACCCAATCTCACATTTGGATGAATTAGAGTCTTCCTAATGCAAACTTGACTACTACCTCTAAGGAGGCCCTTTTAGGGATCTTAGCCACGTTTCAACTAATACAATGACCATAATCTAAACTCAGCTTCATGATTAAAAATACGTTAAGAATAAATCTCAGATTTCAAAAGGTAAATGCAGCACTCAGCAACTCAACACCAAACTGAGCCGACTTGCCCACTCATTTTGAGAAAAAGAGAGGGAGAGAACAAACTCGTGGTGATAGCAAATAGGAACAAGCTGGCAGTTCACGAAGTTCAAATCAGGCTTATTCTGACTCGAAACACATCTTCAGATTTATAGACAATTTTCAGGCAGAATTACACTTTTTGAATACAGCTTCACTTGCAGAGAATTTCAGGACTCTTTATGAACAGTTCGAACATAAGCATCAAGGTTTAGGCGAAATTTTAAAAGAAAAGCAACACACCTTGCTAATTTAAACAGAAACAAAGAGATTCAAGGTAGAACAAATTAGTTTCCAAATTTAATAAAGAACCGAGCAGAACTCAGTTGAAGGGGAACGTGTTTAACATGTTTTAAACTGAAAGCAACAGGATCAAGCCTGAGAGAACAAACCTTCCAGATTCAACAAAATATACCACGAAATCAGAGACTCAATACTATATATCTAAAAATCACTAAGGCTATGTTTGGTTGGAGGTAGGTAAAAGTTTTAATAGGTAGGTAATGGTAGGTAATTGAAGGTAGGTAAAGTAAGGTAATGAGTTAAAAAATTGGGTTTGTATGTTTATTAGGTAACGTAAGGTAAGGAAAGAATAAAATTACTAAATTATCCTTGTGGTTGTTTTTCTTTATTTGTTTAGGATGTATTTATATGAAACTTACCTTTCACATTATATTCTTACTAGTTTTTACCTCGTGCTTTGCACTAGCTTTTATATTCGTACGTAAAATATATATACAAAATTAATTTTACATCAATTGTAAACATTTTTTTAATAATTTATTAGAATTTATTTAAATTTTAAATGTAAAACTTTAAAATTAAATAAATAATCTAGGACAAAACTTCTAAGTAACATCATTTTATATAAGTGCAACTAATCAAAATTTAGCATAATTTACGTTAATCTGTAAGAACTCAAATCACTAGCACCTACAAGTCCAGATAATTGCAAAAAAATAGAGTACAATAACAAAACTGCAGAAAATGAAGTACAATAACTAGAATTAGAAAAAAGAGTACTCAAAATTACACAATTGTAGAAAAAAACAGGAAAAAATAACCAGAAACCCAACCATCTTCTGCAACTCTTTCTAGTAGGTTTGACATATTAGAACAAACACCAGCTGGGTATTGACATATTAGACATATTAGAACAAACACCAACTCTGAGGGAAGACTATAATAATCATAACCAAAGCCTATTCACAAACCACAGCTGGGTATTCATCATCCAAGAACAAAAAGAGCAACAAACACTTCGGTTATTTCATAATCTCTTCCAAAGCAGGCGGATTAATGGTGAAAGAATCTCAATTCATCTGATAAATAAAAACTATGCTGCTTTATAAAACAGAAATTTAAGCAGATCCCAAACAAACAAACAAACAAAACAAAAGAGGAGGAGAGAAGCATACCGTCCTGGATTTGGGCAGAAGCAAAGGAAGCACAGGAAAAGAACAGAAAAAACCATTAAAAAAACAGGAAAAAAAAAGAGAAACGAAAATTGAAAACTTGAAATTGAAAATTGAAAAAGTGAAAATTGAAGTAAGCACAGTAGAGCAGAACGAAATCTGGAAATTGAAAAAAAAAGTGAAAATTGAAGTGGAAAAAAAAGTGAACGAAAAAAAGTGAAAATTGAAACAATAAAGCAGCCAAGGGGAAGATTATCGAAATAGTAAGTAGATGGCGATCAGAATACCTGTCTTGGAGATGGCGATCGGAAGAGCGATGTGAAGATGGCGATTGATTTTAGATCCGGTGGAGATGGCGATCGGAATATCGTTTAACCCTACCTCCTTCTACTCTAAATCAACACGGTAAGGCGAAAATAAAATGCTCTGAACATTTTAATACATAAAAAATAGTCCAGTCAGCAAGTGAATAGAGTAGCAAGTCCTATAATGACAAGTCATTATTTTTTATCACTTTTTTAAATTTTTTTATGTTTTTTAAACATAAAAAAAATATTTTTATTATTTATTTTATTAAAAAATTATTCTACTTTCTTATATATTTTTTTTCATAAAATATTTTTTAAAAAAATATTTTAAAAAAATAAAAAAAGAAGAATGAAGTACCACACTCATGCCTCACAAAGCAAGGCATTTTGCACGTGCTCTTATATTTCCCCTACCTCCAAACAAACACAAGGCACGAGCAAGACATAAAAAGGGTCTTAAGGTCTTATCCATAATGGTCTAAGGAATTAAAGTATGTAAACTTATATGGAGCTCTAGCTTCAAACTATCTCATTTCTTCATCTTGTTGTCTCTTTTTAAGTTTTTAACTACCCAATAGGTATTTAGAACCCATAACTGTTGAATTATTTTTGAAATCAAATCCAAATTCAGAAATTTTAATACTCCTTTGTAAAATCAGATGCAAATTTAAACTTCTAAAAAAAAGAAATTAGGGTGATATTTGAATAGAAAAACATCAAATCTAAAAGAATTATTCGTCATATTGAACCATAAAGACACTCATATTTCGTAGAAATTAGCAAAGATTTCAAATTATTAATTAATAATTAACCCTAGATTTTGTTTTTTAAAGTATTAATGTCTAAGAGAGTATGAGGAAAGCCAAAGATTAAAAGAAAGCATGAAATTGGCTAGAGTAAGTGAAATGCCTAAAGTGCCGGAGGCGGCTGGCAGAGAAGATCTGGCCATGAAACTGGCCACGAAGGTGAGACTGATTTCTGGTCGATTGAAGGCAGAAGGGGCCGTCTCTGTCTCTCTGATGTCCTAAGCCAGCAACTCTAGCGAGAAATATCTTCAACAATTGTTTAAATACTTGGTCCGATCGGATCGGGCTGATTTTTAATTTAGATGTTGGGCTTAGTGAGTAATGGGTTGTTATATATATATATATATATATATATATATATATATATATATATATATATATATATATCAATATTAGTGAAAAAACAATATATATCAATATTTTAAAAAAAGTTTAAACATATCAATGATTAGCTAATTTTCTTATTTTACTTTTTTTTTATGTATATAAGAATTTTAATACTTTAAAACTATTAAAATTTGGTAAGAATTTTAATTTTAATTTAAATCAAATTTAAATTCATTTACACCAGATCTAATTAGATAAAACCAGATCCAATCAGATCAGATACAATCATATCAGATCAAACCCAACCAGATCAGATCAGAACTTCAAAAATTCAGATCAGGCTCAATCAGATCAGGTGACGGACGGAACAGAGCCTTATAAGTATAAAATTACTCATCAACAATTAGCCAATAAACACCATCACAGAGAAACACCACATTAATGTCATGTCGAAAGATAATTGTTCATATAAATAGGTCTAATTTTAAGTTGAACTTGTGCACTAAGGGCCATCCAAACTAAATGAAAATCTAAATAATCCAACAACAAATACTCAGTTTCCAACTCTAAGGGAAAGGTTCGAGGACACGTTCTGTTCCCAATTCGAATTATCTGGTAACTTGGTAACTCTGAAAAAGAAAAAGAAAGAAATTACTTAGCTAAGATTTCAACCATTCCTAAAGTTAAAATAAAACACTTGACCCAGTGAGTTGAGGATGCATACCTTTACTATCTTAAGAAGCTCTTTTGCATAGGCATCGTTCTTGAAATGGTCACGCACGGGCTGATAGATATCACATGGAAGATGACTTAGAAAAAAACAACCTATCCATGAAGTCCCACAAGTGGGTCTGGGGGGTCCTTAATCCTACCTTATAAGGTAGATATGCGTGTCTTAGAAAATATTGATTTCTGAATTTAGGAAAACAATATTCATTCCTCTATAGGCCTTATAAAGCCCAAGACCTAAAGTTCATAGTAAAAAAATACTAATTCTACGCATCAGACATTCCAAAAGGAACTGAAAACGTTTAGAAACCCTATGAGGAAAAAAGAATTGAGCAATACCTGTAGGATCTTGTTCAGTGCTTTCGATAGAGCGGGTTTAAGGTCCCTAGGGTGCAATCCACCACATTCATAGTCAGCAACAAGTTCCACAAAACTAATGAAAGTCATGTACACGCGAATAATAACACAATTAATGTGGAGCAAAATGGGTGAAGATCAAACTCATAAAGTTTGAAACATAACAGCAAGCATGAAAATATTACGAGTAATAAAAATCATGTTGATGCTGTCAGTAGAAAGAAAAAGACCATGTCTTACTTGTTACCACCATTCTCTTGACTTCGCTCCACCGTAAACTCATTAAACCAGGGAAATATTATGTAATTGAGGTACTCAAGACAAGGATTTTTCACTACCACCTTGGGTGGGCAGAATGCCTCCTTTATTTTTTGATTCACATCTTCCTATACCATAAAAACAAGTCAGATGTGTGTTATGATTAGTCTTAACTGTGCTGATAGAGAACCAAAGGTATCAACTACGAATTACCTCTTCATCTTCCATGAAAATGGAAGATGATACAATAGTCTTGGACATCTTCTCCTGACCCTCTTCCAAGCCAGGCAACATGTCTGCATGCCAGATTACAAGTCAGGGCACAAAATAAAGCTTGGGCAGAAACTTCTCATTTATCAAATTAAGTTTGGCGCCCAAAATAAAGCACGCACATAAATTTCATAATTACACCGTATCAAATATTCAAATCAAGTTAGAACGTTAAAATACACTGGAAGCATACGATGAGACAATATGATAGGCTTGTTTTTCCTCTTAATATCCTCGGCGTATTCTCTTGCAAGAACATTCACCTTTCTCTGGTCCATTCCCAATTGACAGATATCAGCCTGTTAAGGAAATGGCATCCAATTGATTACATTACATGCAGAGGCAATAGACCAAGAGAGTAAGCATCTAAATGCAACAAACATGATGTGCCTCATCTAAAAGTACAAAAAATATAACACATTATGGTACTACTCCCTCCGTTCCAATCAATACAGAACCCTATAGTATACTCCCTCTGTCCGGAAAATAACTTCCCACTTTCCTTTCGAACCATCCTGAAATTAACTTTCCATTTCCTTATTTGGCATGCTTTTAAATTGAAATACCATAAATACCCATAATTTCTCATCCACCCCAGTTTAATCTCTCTAACTAACCCAATTTGAAGTCTATCTCTAAGTTTTTTTCGTCTTCCTTTGTTCCCCATCCAACCAAGCTCTTTCCACTGCATCTAATTTTTCTTCTTTCTTCCACCTTTAGGCCACCATCAACCCAATTTACTCCCCACCCAACTCATATTCTTCTTCTTCCTTCTGCCGCCATCATATCCAACCTTCATTTCTTCTTCTTCCTACCCAACCAACCCTAGATCTAATTAATTATCTCTCTACTATGGCCCCGTTCTCTTCAACTTATTTCTGGTACTTAATACTTGTTCTTATTGGAATCAAATCAGATCCATAAAGATCAAATCTGATAAGCCTTAAAAAAGTGCAAATGCAGCCTTATTTCTTCTTCCTTCAACTTCGTCGCTGTGATGCACCCAATATTTGAGTTCATCTGACACGACACCGTCAAGTCTTTCTCCGGTTCCTTACTGGTTTTAGTTGTAATTGTATATAGCTGATGACAGATGTTGTAGAAGGAAACATTTATTATCTACTGACAGGAGGGGCTAGTAGAATAAGCAGCAACCCAGGGACACCACTAGTGCAGCCAGGAATGCTACTAAAGACCAAGAATAAAGGGGTCTTTTTTGGATTGGGCCCAAATATATAGGACTGAAAAAGTTTGGGCCAAAAAAAGAAAAGAAAAATTGGTGGACAAATGATGATGGCGCCGAATGGTGTTGCCATGGGAAGATAAGTTGCCAGTTTGTAGCAATGGGGGCCAAATCGCCAATAGTGCATTTATGGCGTGCACCATTTGCACCATCGATAAGCCTGGATTTGATGTAACATAAACACATAATTGGCACAGTGAACCCAGTAATAACTCACAAATTTTAACCTCCCCTTTAATGTAAGAAACTTTGCATAGGCGCACACATATAATTGATCAAAATGCTTCAATATATACGCACAAAGAAATACTTTTGCTATACTACTTTACCTTGAGGAAAAATATGTCTGCACACTGCATGCATGGGTAAAATATTTGGGCGGCAGTCAATTGCTCCTCTTTAGAGCGACCCATAATTTGACCGCATCTGATCAATTTACAGGAGGGACAATCAAAGACAGTTCAAAACAACTATTTACCCTTGAAGGAAGAAAATCAGTGTTGAATACCTTACCTCAATATTCGCGGAAGTGTATTTCTCCGTGCAATGTCCATAACAAGTGGCCAGTACTCATGAGCTCTAGAATTGATTTCTTCAGAGGACCATACAAACTCAACATTACCACTCTCAACCTTCATTCCTGCAGCTTTCCATATCTCAATCAGATACTGACCAACAACATGAATTTTCTTCAAGTCTCCACCCATCTTGTTGTTTAACTGAGCAAACCAATCTGCAATCCATATCTTTACTTTACAGCCCGATGCTACAAGCTTGTTAACATTAATTGTCTTCATAACACCCTGTTCATGGCACAGTTGATGTTGATACGAAGAAAATGAATAAGTCCAAAGAAAGACATACATAATCACACATTTGTTGACTGCATTGCTTTGATGATCCATATACTAATGACTGAGCAGCATTCAGAAGATGAGACAAACCCAAGTTATTTATAGTCTGTGGTCTAGTATTTAATAGGCACTGATCTGATGGTGAACCCAAAGCTAGGGCGCTTAAGGTGGTGGCTAGAACTAAAGCACATTTGCCCGTGTTTCTTCATTTGAATTCTTATTATAATCAATATGAATATTTTAACCTTCAAATAGACTACGTACTGGTGGGGCTAATTAGCACCAAGAATTTTGGCATTGAATTGCCTTTTTATAGTAGAACGTGCTTACCAGATACTCCCCATGATTCTATTATGGGCATAGTGTCTACATTGAGTAAATCACAGTTCAAGAAAATTGATCAAGGTGATATAATCAAATACACTCTTATATTAGAACTAACATATATACTAATAAGACACACTAATATGTACTCCCTTCATCACAAAGTATTTGTCCAATTTGAATTTTTTGAGTCCAACGGGATGAACTTTAATCATCAATTACATAAAAATTGCATTGAATATTAATAAATGAAATGTGGAAGTAGGGAGGCTGTTTCCAAGAGACTCCCATCTCAGTAACACAGATAGCATAAGCTCACAGCATGCACATAACGCAGAGAAAGCAAAGAGAGAGAAAAAGCAAATAACAACTAAAACTAATGACAGATAAGCACATCAAGCAGAACGCACAACAATGAAGCACACAAGTGAGAAAATCACCACTCAGTCCAAAATGTTTGCCCAAATACCCTAATCCTAGCTCTCCAAATGTTCCTATCTATGGTCATATCCTCTATACGGGCCAGAATTCTTAGGTCATGTCTAATCACCTCCTTCCATTCATCCTAGGTGATATATATCCGGGAGCATGCCCGAAGACTCTCCGTAGCCCGCCAAGGGAAAGACAGATCAGGGGAATAAAGCCCAAGTGTGGTGACATTAATTGGGTTGAAACTTCTCCATTTTCCTGTCTTAGAACCCAACCCAACACCATGGTTGTCCTACACCCACCCTAGGCTGAGCCCACACTCTCCATACCTTCCCTAAACATCCAAAATATTTCCTTTTCAAAATAAAGTTTTCCTACTCCTATTTTAGGCCCTGGCCGAAAATAAGAGTGTGTAAACCACAACCTTTGTTTGTTGTTATTTTCTTTCTTTTAAACCTTTTAATAAACAAATAAAACCTTCTATCCTTTTCTATAAATCC